CACACACACACACACACACACACACACACACACACACACACACACACACACCTGTATAAAGTCTGCCTTTATGTTGAGATCATAAATAGAGTCTGAGGGTATTATGAAGCCTCTTGCACAGTTGTATCATTATCAAATTGGGTTTTTATCACATGCACACGTCTTGTGAGAGAATCTATTTTAAGAAACGTGTGTTTCAAACTGTCACATGGGTCTATTTTTAACCACCTCGCTATATGAGAAACAGGCAGTGTCCTGGAACACATACCTTGTCATGATCCTGTATTAACACTCTATACTGAACTCCATATAAAAAGAAATGGAAGAGGGAATTTATAGCAACAGTTTGTCATTTTTGTCTATTCTATGTCTCAGTAATTTAATATGTAAAAGGGAGGCACTCTTGAGTAAATCAGAATGTGAGACATAAATGTGGATAACTTGTGAATAAAACCTAAACATTTCCTGCTGCATACAGTTTATGTTTTGGGTCTGCTCTTTTTTTAAAAGTGCATCCATGGGTTTTTACAGAATATTTGAACTTTGTACATTTGTTGGAGCGATAAAGCACACACACAATAATGAAGAGTTTAGTAGTGATGGTTTGAAAAGAGCAGTTTAACAAAAAACAAAATAATTTTACACTGTCATTCATTTAACACCACCAAAAAATCTAGTCATATAGTCCTATATACATGGTTGAACCACTTATGCCGCAGTTTAATAAACTTGCTTTGGGTCTGTTTGGTGCTAAGATCAGAGGGGAAAATAATTTTATCATTTTTTATTTCTTCAGAGAAGAAGGTATTGAGAAAAGGAAAGTGTCAGTGGCTGTGTCCCTGAGTGGATGCTGACTAAACCAAAATGAAACATCCTCCCTGCCACTATCTTTTCATACGATAGAGCAAAAGGTCAAAGTTCAATGAGAAGTCATCAGCTGAACAAATAAGAGCAAAATCTCATGAATTCACCTCTGAAAACTAATGACAGGTGCAACCTCTGACCCTCAGAGTGAGTCAGCACGATTGCACGGCTGATCACGTGTGTGTTGCCTACCATCTGAGTCGATGCTGTTGAGAGCAGTAGGGGGGATGATGGAGACTTTGCATTGACCTAGGGGACACTTGCGTGGATATAAGTCCATGCAGGCTGTGTGCACCTAAAAGAACAACACCAAATACAGGGAATTAAAACTCTAAGCAGATTTTAGAGATAATATTATTGATTTTTCCATAATTTAGTGGGCTGGTTTCAGTCATTATGCAAATGTACTGTTTATAAGATTGGGGAAACCTGCAGTCAGCTAAGACTGAAGAAGTCACTTGGATGAGTGATGAAATGTTTCTCCCATGAAAATGCTACGTCCATATGAACAGAATCCACCTTTGGAGACTCAGGAGGTAGAGCAGGTCATCTGCTGATCAGAAGGTTGGTGGTTCAATTCCTGGCTCCCCCAGTCTTCATGCCAAATATCCTTAGGCAAGATACTAACCCCCACTTGCTCTCCGATGCATCCATCGGCGTTTGAATGCGTATGAATGTATGTTAGTTAGAAAGTACTGACAAAGCATAGACAACAGTACTTGTGTGAATGGGTGTGTATGGGTGAATGCAGGGTATTGTATAGAGCACTTGGAGTACTCCAGGAGAGTAGAAAAGCGCCATATAAGAATCAGTCCATTTACGTAACGCCATGTATACCTTGTGTCATTTTGGCAGCAAAATGGGGAGCAACACTATATCATGGTCATAATGGTAATAATGTTATACCTGATCATGGTAAATATGCAGAATTTGTAAACAAAGGAAAAGAGTTTTGTACTGGAAACTGGTTTGCAGGCTCTGATAGCATTTGGGTAAAGTCCTTCTGAAGTGTAAAAAGAGGGACTGTATTTCCCAAAATACAATCTTAAAACCATCAGATATTGTTATTAAGGATTTTATTACCTTTTGTAATTCATCTGTATTGATCAACCAGATATTTATTGTCTGCAATAAAGAAAGCCAGGAGTAACTGACAGCTGCCTCCAGAGGATGACTACAAGTTGAGTTCCCAGATTGTTCCAGCTGGCTCTCCAGATTTCTCAGATTCCAATCATTCACGAGTTTGTGGTGAGTGCCAAGACAAGCCCAAGTGCTGCGATCAGCCCAGTGAAAAAGGAAACCTCCAAACCTCCACTGTCCATGCTTGGATCAGAGCCTTGGCACGACAACAGGGAACCTACATAAAATTAACCAGAAGGTTTTATTGTTATGTGCGATGTGCATGTGATAGATGCCTTACCATAGCTTTGCACCAGAGGCAGCGCCAATCCTGCAGTCTCAGCACGCTGCCACACGTCTTATCACACACAGCACACTTGGCACTGACAGGCAGGTTGCCTTCCAACCACTGGTGAGGCATTGCAATCTGTAGGTTTCAAACACACACACACACACAAAATTAAAAATGGTTAATAATGTCGGCTTCCGTTCACTTGAACTAGGAGAGTTTTCTATATTGACTCCCACATTATATTTTAGAAACTCTTTGCAGAAAACCAGGCTGAGGAAATTCCCAACCAGCTCAAAATCTTATTAAAAAATTACATGAACATTCTGCCTTTCAAAGAAGACTGCTTTTGAACAAACTTACCCCATCCTCATCCTCAATGATATCCTTCCCTATGGAGGCCAGGGTGGTCCATTTACAATTGTTGGTGGCTCTGACAGCACAGCGTTTGTGCGCTTTGAATTTGCACACTGTAAAACACAAATATCACACCCGAGTCTGACAATGGTTTCCACCTTTCAACTGTCACTTTGATGATTATGACAGTTATTTATGAATCAAACAGTGATCCAGATAATCTTCCTCCAAAGACTATAAACCATGTATTTCTAGCCAATTTAAGATCAATTCAGTTTGAATTGAATTGTCATTTTTTTCTAATTTGATAAAATTTAGAACTTTTATTGTCATTGTACACTTGCTTGCACAGTCAAATTAGGTAGCAAGACCACAAAGGTGCGAAAGTAAAGAAAACAATATACAAGAAAAGAAAGAGAAACAATATAAGAATACTATGTACACTATATACACGTTGTTTGGGTTGCAAGAAGCATTGTGGGGGTGTGTACAAGGGCATCATAATAAAATGCAATAAATAATAATAGGGTGGAAGGGCTATGGTTGTTAAGGATAGGGATGGAAATTGCACATCTGCCGAAATATTGCACAGGAACAAAAAAAATGGCAGCAACATAATATGAATTATTTTTCTTGACTGAAAACACAAATGAAGACCTCAGAAACAGACACACCAGTGTTTTAATAAATTAGTCCAAATGAGTGCGTGTGTGTGCGTAAATTCTCAAAAAAGTTCTGAAAACACTGTTCATCGTGAGCCATATTAGCCCAGTTTACAACCTGACATTTGCATTTCAAACTGCAAATTGGGGCAAGGGATTGACCTGGCAACCTTCTGGCTGGTACATGACCTGTTCTACCTCCTGCAGCACCCTATGTGAGACCAAACATCCAACTCATGAACTTGACTACCTCCATTTGAGAGGTAGTTTGCAACAGAGTCATGCTAGGTGTTGTCTGTCTCCATTGTCTGTGCTAAATTAAGCTAAGAGAGTATTAGAGTGCTATCAATCCTCCTATCAAATACCTAACTATTCAACTGAAACGTCAGACGCTTCTTGATTTAAGAAGTAATGTAGTAGTTAGAGAACAATGGTTTTTAGCAGTGTTACATTGCTAACCTTACTTTCACTATGCGTTTACTGTCTACCAGAAAATCAAGAAAATGAAGGCTGAAAAAAGCAACCAAAACTGGAAGAGGACAGCATTTTTTTCCTAGACTGTTGGAGAGATTGGGTAGTTCTCCCAGGTTAATCAAATGCTGCATGGTTCAGCAATGGGAATGATTGTGGAAGGTCTACCGGGCAAACGAAATGTTGCTCTGGTGTCAAAGGAGGTAAAGAGTGATTGAAACAAAGAAAAAAAAAGAAGGAACCTTGGATGGACATTCACTTAACAAAGAGAGATCTGGAGCTTCACAGGGCTTAAGCCTGGTAAGATTTTTGTTACTTGATCAGTGTAAACACAGAGCTACAAGTAGGTGTGGTGATGGAGGGATCTTACATCATTTTTACTAAAGATGATCAGTGCTGACAAAGTCATTGTACAACTTTAACATCCAGTCCATCAAGCTTTAGTCCATATAAATGAGAAGCAGAAGCATGGACTTGAATGCGTTTAATGCTGGCTGCTTTGAACAGGAATGAAGAGTGAAGTGTAAATACAACATAAATGTTTCTTAAGAAACAGTACAGTGGCACAGACAGACGGAGACTGCTCTCGACTTTTTCTCCTGTAAAGATGAGGCACTTAGCAGACTCATGAATAATGTCTGTGATATGGGGAGCTTTGCTTCCAGCTACCCCACCTTGTTGTCCTCTCTCTCTCTAAACACGCAAAACCTCATCATTAGGCATGCCACACAGATACACTACAAACTGAGCCAAAGTCATATCCGGGAGCAAAATCAATGTTTCAATCTCGTCTACCACTAAATGCTGTTAGAGAGCATTAGTAGGACGTTAAGAGAATTCTCAGGACATAATACCACTGCCTGTTAATGGCCAAACACAGAGCCATCATACAAACCAGACTAGAAGAAAACATTGTCTCAGACTGTGAGTGTCTGTGTGAGGGTGAAATACAGACGGAAAGGCAAACTGCTTTTACGGTTTGCGTGTGTGTTTATGGGTAGGTAGCACAAATCAATCCCCACTGACTGTCCCGTGCAGGAAATCGAAGGGAAATTTAAGCCACGCTGATTGCTGTGAAACTGTTTGGCAGGCTGCCCTCAAAGTTTAATAAAGACTGCATTCTATGATAGCCTCTCTATTTTCTTGTCTCCCACTCTCTCCCATTCTCACATACTGGTTCTCATATTCCCATGGGTGATCCTCCCATTCTCACTGTCGCTGCTGACAATGAAAGTATTTTGAAATAACTTCAATGAATTAGCCATTCTGCAGAACATACAGGAACATGTAGGCATGCTTAGCACACATTTAAATAATGTGTGCCAAACATCACATTTTAAAAAATGCAACGATTTGGTTAAAACAATGCCCTTTTATAGCTAAATGTCTTTGAAATCTTTTTAATCTTCAGTGCTTATCCAGCTATGGTTGTCAGGGTGGAGCGTGTCCCTGCAGATAAGTTCCTTACAGTAAAATTCCCTAGCCAATCAGCAGGTGCTAACCACTCCAACTCTGTGCTAAAGATGTGTGAACACAGTAACAACTGTTGTAACATGCACACCTGAATGGTACGGCTATGTCAGGGCTAGATAAAGCCCTGTGTTATCACAAAAGTTATGACATAGTTTATTTGTGCAGTAAATTGAATAATTTACCGCAAATTTTCTACTCTTACTGAGGACTCAAAAGACTTTGACACTACATTTGCCACATTTGTCCATTGACAGACATTCATTTTTACAGCTTTGTACCTATCACACACACACTTCCACACATTCACTAAAATTGGACTGCGGACAACTTGGGGTTCAACATCTTATCCAAGGACACCAGAGATCAAACCACTGACTTTCCAGGTTGTAGATCTACCTCCTGAGCCACAGGTGCTTTACAACTGCTTTGTATCACCAAAACATTTACAAATTCCAGCAGTATTGTCCAAAACTCTTGAACCACCTCTCATTTCTTTCTATTTTGCTTTCAAGAAGGGGGACCTTAACTGTAGTCTTGAGCAAGACAGCTGGAACAGCTACGACCTTAATTGCATCATTGGAAGGAATTGGATGGATGGGTGGATGTATCTTGGATAATAGCTCTCCAGGCTTTCTGAAGGTCTTTCCAAGTGTTTCTTTTAATATTGGCTGCTTTTTCTCTTATTTTCAGTCCACTCATTTTACATGACCATTTTCAGAGGAATGTTGTTTTGATTGTTATGCCACTTAACACTGTCCCACGAATCACTCAAGCATAAAAAAGGCATCTAACACAGTGTATGAGCCAGTGTTGTCTATACATACAATTTAGCGAAGAGCTCTGTTGTCTCACTCTGAGTTATCTAACTCAGAAAGGTGAAGTGAAAGTTATTACTGAGTTGATGACAACACAGTGTTATCCTAAAAAAATATATGAAATCTTTCATTGATATGTTAAAAAGTGGCACTGGCCATTTTAAAAATTAAAATAAACATATAAGCATTTTTATGCCATTACTGTATATCCATATGTAACTTTCACTTTGCTTCATGGTGATTTAGCCCAAAAAACAATGTCCATGAATGTCTGCCTGTAGGTACCTTGTGCCCAATGGAAGGCTTCTCTCAGTGATGTATAATGAAAACCCCATAATCTCAATGCACCTTCCTATTGTTGCTTGTCTATGCGTGGCGCAAAATAAGCCGATTCAAATAACAACCATTAGATACTGCTCTAATGATTTGGTCTTTCTCTCTACGTCTCTCTCTTTTGCCTTCTGCTCTGGAAATGAGAGGATAATGAGCACTGAGTGGAGAGGCTCTCACTGCCTCCACACGTATACAGCAAACCCAGCGCACATGTAGGCACACACACAGGACTGAGTTACACATGCACATGCTCACAGGGGAACATTAGCAAAATTAGAGTGAGAGGATATGCAGATGGTGCTCATTATGGCCTGCTGCCTGTCAATAACACTTTACACCAGCTAAAAGAAAGTACAAAAAAGAAAAAAATAGTGTCAGCCCCCCATGTCAAACACCTTCCTCATAACACCCCACTTCTCTGTTCTTTCACACATGAGGTGAGGAGATATGGTGTCATTCGTGATCCTTTAACAGTTTTTTCCCTGTTAAGGGCAATTGGAGGCAAGTGAAATGCTATTTTTAAAAAATGCAGTCTAAGTCAACGCTTATCTAACGCGCAATATGGCATAAAAGCATATGAATACAGGGTGACATGCATTGATATGCTGGCTGTGAGCTTGGTGGGCATCCTGCTCCACAACCCAGTGCATTTCAAAGACTCTTGCTGGCTCAGGTATATCCAATCTGCTGCACTTGGGCAGACACAAAAAAAGGCTTTTCTCACTTCAGTGACTCACCAGTCCTTACGTAAAATAGCAATATAGCCTTCCCAAAGTGCCTATAGACCTGCCAACTCACAGGCTTTGCTTCCAAAGCAAAATCATCTGTTGCAATACTATAGGGTGTCTGATCTTAAAAGAGTGGCTATTTGAAGTAGGAGCCAGGAAAGAGAGTTATGTAAGAAAACACTATGTGTCTAAAAGCAAATTCTTCACAAGATAATTCAGCATCATTTCAACCTGCCTCATTCTCATTAAAGAAGACTTAATGTGCCCATTTCCATCTCCATCTGACACAGACACAAGTTAAAAAACATTTTAAAAAAGCAATCTGAAGCCTGAGCTTTAGTTTCACAGGGATTACTTAGTACAGCGGTCCCCAACCCCCGGGCCTCAGACGGGTACCGGTCCGTGAGTCGTTTGGTACCAGGCTGCGAGAGTTGAGGCTCAGGTGTGAAATGTATGGTTTTCAAGGTTTTTATCGGTTTTCAGAGTTATTTTGTTATCGTTTTTATTGTTAACTCGGTTTTCCTGGGTCTTTTCACGTGTGTTATGAATAAATCTTATTTTTTTCGGTACCGGTACTACTTTTATTTTGTTGTATTTATCCGCGACACCTTAAAGGCCGGTCCGTGAAAATATTGTCGGGCATAAACCGGTCCGTGGCGCAAAAAAGGTTGGAGACCGCTGGCTTAGTACATATGCTCACATTATTATTTGATATAGATATAGTGAAGCACAGACTTACGCAAAACAGCTCATATTAGGGCAACTACCATGAGCTCTGTTACCATCCCTTCTGTTAAAAAAGGATTTTTACGCTACCTGGAGATACTTGCCAGCTGACCTAATAATCACCATAATTACACCTAAGTCCATGGTGACTGAAATGTAGGACGAGACATGGAATGTCCACGTCAATCTGAGAGGAAAAGCAGCCAAATTTACATCTGGTGTGTTGGGATGGGCAGAGTTCTGGAATCTTTTTGATCATACGTCACATATTTGTTTACTCTGTGAGGCTGCGGTTAGCTCTCCAATCAGTGTAGGTGTTTGTGTTGGAGAAGTAAAAGGCATTTTAAGACATTTTAAGTGTTACATATGTGACAATTTTTGCGACCTTTTTTGCAACCTAAAAAAACAAAAAAAACAACAACAACAAAAACAAGTACCAAGGTCTTTAGTGACCTCATAGCTGTTGAGAGCCATGCAGTTAGCAGCAGTGCAGCGGTTCTTTGGAAGTTTGGATGGATGTCATACCTCCTACACCAACAATTTTCTTCATTGTCTGCAGTAGTTTGTGGCACGAGTGAAAAGCTTACCGGTAGATGACAAATTTTTTCCGTTGTCTCTCTGTCCTCCTCTCTCTTGTTTGCACTCTTGCCATCTTCTGAAGCTTTTAGTGCACTTAGGCTAACACTGTGTTACTGTCAACTCAGTACTAACTTAACATTATTTCACTTCACCTTTTTGTTGTTAGATAGCTCTACTGCACAGGACCTATCATTTGTGTGAGGCGATGCACTTACAGTGAGAACAGGGACAGGAGAAACTAGCGGACTGCAAATGGAGTATTGAGTAGTCTATGTGCTAGTGCCAAAAATCTTTTGATTTTTCATCCAGTGATGACAAAAACATGTTGCCTTACCCCAAATTTAAAGTGAAATACATGAAATAATGATCCTTTTTGAGTTTCACACTTGTGATAGTAAACATGTGTAGTTTTGAGTGTATTTGTACTCACCTTCACAGGAGAGGCCGTGAGATGTGACCCCAGACAAACTATCCTTACAAACATTGCAAAAGGTGGGCCGTGCATGGGAGCAGGCGTACCAGTTGTGCATCCCTGAGAAATGTTCCACATTAAACTGTGCTGTCTGGCAAAGGAGAGGTGAAAACAGCAGTCACGTGTCACAAATGTAAGCATGATCAAAAAGAAAAAACATTGAATACTGATTTACAGACACACAATTGATACTCGACTCCTTTGTGGTATACTAGCTTTCTTTTAGAATAACTATTATTCATTTCCCCCTAAAACCATGACAACATTAGCTAGGAAAGTGCCTGGTATAAGAAAAGAGCCTCCACAGGAGAGAGAGAGCCTCCACTTCCTTAGAGTTGTTAGAGTGACAACTTTTACAAAAAGCTACACACCCAGGTCAGATGAACTGGATGCCTCTGCACATTAGTATATGGAGAGGTCCTACTGTGGAGCCACAGTGTAGTGTACCCATGTGGGTGTTGCATCTGCAGTAGTTGGCGCAGTCCTGGATATAATTGGTTTTTCACAAGTACAACTGTAACAGGTGCTTACAAACTGGGGTACTTGCATTCTTTAACAGTGTCACATAAAAGGATACGGCAATTAAATGCTGCTGTGTGGACATATTGGCAGGAGTGCGCATGCTTGTGTGTCTGTGTGTGTGCGTGTGTTTGTGTGAACATGTGTGTTCCCTGTGTTGTGTGAGCTCTGGGGTTGCTGCAGCACTGCAGTGCAGTAAGGGGGTGAGGGATGGGGTCTTATATAAGATTTCCCTCTCAAATCAAAGGCATTAAAATGCAGCACAGCTTTCTTCCTGCGCTCGCCACATCACCTCGCTGTCAGTGCACAGCCAGGATTTACAGTCTTCTTAACATATTCTGTTGACAGTGGAATACGCTGAGCAGTTACGATCAGTTTTGATGCTGGTAACATGTTTTCTAGATTCTTCAAGAAATACTGGCTTGAAGTGAAAAAAAAAAGCTTTCAAATAGGCATCTACCGAGTATGTTCTGTGTTAGAAAGTCATAAGGAGAAAAAACACTTGGGAGAATAGGATGTGCCAATACAGTTTTTCTTACTGTTACTCTGCCCAGTGTCGAACATGTGACAACATGCGGGTGGAGGCGTGCTTATGCATGTGCTGCAGCCCTATCTGAACTCCGCATTTCTATGTATCCCATCCCCAAAACTGCCAAACAACCCCCCCTCCCCTCCACAAACACACACACACACACGCACACACACACACTTTAATCTGTTGAACTGCACCTTACCTCGTAATGCTCTCTGGACTGGACGGACTTGAGCGAGCTGATCCAGTCCTCCATCTCTTTCCTGTTCTCAGCACAGAGGATGAGCCTACGGAACGGAGTGATCACCTGGAGGCAAAGGGGGGAGGAGGTACGAGAGAGTGAGACAGATACTGTGGCTAAACAGCGAGAGAGCGCAAGCGAAACAGAGCTTAATGTTTCCAGCTCTTTCCTCTTCAGCCTGCGGTACCTCTGAGTGGAGAACAACCGGCTCTGTCTTTAAGAGAGAGCAAGGATGTAAAGCCCCCCTCCCTCTTTCTCTCTCTCCTTCGCTCTCTCTCTCTCTCTTACATACATACACTCTCTTTGTCTCTCATTAACTCTAGCTCACTCACACCTTCTTCAGTTAAGTCTCTTCCCAGCTCTTCATGAGGCTTTGAGGCAGATATGTGCTGACAGGCAAAGAGCCTCACTAAAGGCAAAGAGCCTCTCTCTCTCCCGTTGCCTCCTCCTCTCTCGTCCTCTACTTGTGAGCATGTGTGTGTGTGTGTTCGTGTGTTTAAAGGACAGTGCCTGTAGATAACCCTACAGACAAACAGCACCCTTTCAACAGCCCATCACTTATTTATGCTCACTCATCTCTTCCTTCTCTCCATTTCTTTCCAAGTCATTGTTTTCCCACAGTGTGTTATCTTGATTTACATTAGTGAGAGGAGAGAGTTGAAATACAGGCACTGCTCACACACACATACACAAGATAATCTAACAGCACTCAAACTGCTCCAACCACTAGCTTTCTATCTGCAAGAAATGCTTTGTCTAAAGCAGGTCACTAAATACAAATGCCATATTTTAAGTGGACTGTATTACCAAATGAGATAATAATTAAAACCATGTAATTCATTTATTGAGCTATCCAGTCTGCTTTTTGGACAAGTGTGGAAAACAAAGTGTAAAAATAAAGAGCTAATTTTGAAATACTGTCTACAGAGAAGCTGCTTGTGAAATCTGTAGACTGTATAGATAAGATGGTCATAGCCTCGATAACTTCAAAATTGGCACAGCATTACTTGTCTGATACTGCCTCTAGTTAAATGTTTTATTCATTGTTATTTTTGATTTTTAAAACCAACTGTGACAAACAAGCAATACTAGTGCATCATTAGTAGGGACTTATTACTCACAAGGTATCTCTATCCTAAAGCTTTTTCACTCTAAATGGGCCCATAATTCACAAAGTAAAAATGAAGCTATGTTGAAAGAGACAGAAAACTAGACACTAAAATTACAAATCACCAAGAAAGAGGTCACAGACTGAGACAACTGGGTTTCCGATTCCGATTCCATTGGAAGGATTTAGGTTTAAATGACTTTCATGTTGGCTTCACATGCTTTTAAAGAGCTTGGGAATCATAACGCCAACAGGTAACAAGGAGGAAAACACACTAACAAATGGTGAAACAAAACATCCAAATGACCTGGGAGATTAACAACACAATAGGACACAGACAGATGCTAAACAATTAGGCTAAGGAGTGTTATTAGGAAGGATAGATCCATATAAACACAAAGAATGGTCACTTTAGTTTTAGGAGCTCTTGCTCTTGTTCCCCAACATTTTCTCAGAAACAGTTTGTGGTGAATTACGATACATCAAAAAAAAGCTAAGAATTATAAACTGCTTGAAGCTTGCATTGATGTGGGACTCAGACATTCAGCCACTGAGCCATGGCTCTGTGGTACACACAAAGATTGCAGGGGAAAAGATGCAGAAAAGTATATACAAGGTGTCTTTACACCTTGTATATACTTTGTTTTACTTCATATTTAATACTTTACTGTGTAGCATAATGTTTTGCTATGTAATAATATCTTCACATGCTCTACCTTGTAGTTAAACTGTACTGTGAATCTGAAAAATAAAATTTTTTTAGATGTGAAAATAATTTTCTGTCGTTTATGATGGCAAAATGTTTCATTGCAACACTTTGTGTTCTTGCAGCAGGTGCAGGATCTCTGTTGATACTAGTCCGAGGGAACAACAACGTCTTCTGTGTCCGAGGTATATCAGATGCCGAAGTGGTATCCAGTCATGATCACACTCTTGCATTTCAGAAGCTGTTTAAAAAAAAAACCCAAACCCACAAGATTTTCTTTGCTTCTAGCTATGCTCATGTGTATCAGCAAAGTATCTGCTGTCATCAAGCAACATATATTTTGAAATTTTATTGAAGGTGATGTTTTTCCTTCATCCAGCTGCTACCCAGACCAAGCTCCATGTCGCTGCTTCCGGTCTAGAAAGAGCTCCATATTGTTTTGGTCATACATACAGCTGTGAATGAGCAGATGAGCTTCAATGCCCACAACTTAACTTTCAAACCCAGAGGCAGCATCTACCTTTGTCCATTATTTTATCAGCTCAGACTTGTGTGAACAATAGTCCAATGATGTATTCTGTATACAGTTAAGGACCTTAGTCAGTGAAATCTATATGTGAGGAAATACTAGCCTCTAAACAAAAGATCATTGACACAGATGTTATATAGGGAGGAGACAAGACACTTAAGGAATTCTGAACAGAAATCTACTGGAGACTAACTTTGACCAAAACAATGCAGACATAATTAATCTCTTTTTGATATACATATACAATTCTATGCACTTATATTTTGCAATCACATACCATAAAAATGCAGAAATGGAAATCAGGAACATAAATAAAGGTCTGCATCTCCGCTGTGTCTTTATCTTCTGTTCTGGTGCTTCTCTTTGAGGTCACCTCATATGCATATTTTAATTTACTGTTACATTCTTCATTGCCATCATCAAGTGTTTTCATTATCCATTATTCAGAAGAAACAGCACTGTCTTATTACTCCCTCCCCTCTCTCTCTGACTCACTGTGTCGCATTGTGTCTAATAAAACAGCCTCAGATTTTACACCTGCTTTCATCCACATGTTACATTTTTAGGTGCAGTTTGCTCTGCTGGAGCTAATCCTAGGAAGGATAGTTCACAAGCAGTCAGTTATTAAGTTTCTGTTCCCTTCTTCAATAATTTAAGAAGAAGCAGCCTATAATATAGTGCATCTGGAATGTATTCACAACACATCACTTGGTCCACATTTTATCATTTTACAGTCTTATTCCAAAATGTATTAAATTCATTTTTCACCTTTTTCGCCTTCACAATTCTACACACAATACCGAAAATTGACAAAGTGAAATTATTTCAAATTTATTAAAAATGAAAAACTAAAATATTACATGTATATACCAAGCCTTTGCTCAGCGTTTTGTTGAGGCACCTTTGGTAGCAATTGCAGCCTCAAGTCTTTTTGAGAAGCTCAATAATAATCAATGGGGAGCATCAGCTTGTTTTCAGATTTCTCCAGAGATGTTCAATCAGGTTCACGTCTGGGCTCAGGCTGGGCCACTCAGGGACAATCACAGCGTGGTTTCGTAGCCAAACCTTTTGTTATCTTGGCTATGGATTTTTTTTAGCTTTGTAAAGACGTTTCACCTCTTGTCTTCATAAAATGTAATGAAATCCGGTTGCTTTCTTTCCAAGAACCTACACAGACATATAGCTGTATTTATCTTTCCCTCAACCTTGACTAGTGTCCCGATTCCTGCTGCCAAAAAACATCCCTACAACATGATTCTGCCACCACCACGCTTCATTGTTCATTTACCTTTTTCATTAGGAGTAGTTTCCATATTGCCACTCATACACGTTTGATTGGTGGTGTGCAACAGAAATGGTTGTGTTTCTGAAAGGTTCTCGTCTTTCCACAAAGCAACACTGGCGTAAGCGCACGACCGTGGCTCAGGGGGTTGGGAAGCACATCTGTAACCGAAAGGTTGCTGGTTCAATCCCCGGGCTCTCTGTCTCTGTAAGACACTTTACCCTACCGCCTACTGGTGTTGGCTAGAGGGGCCGATGGCGTGATATGGCAGCCTCGTTTCTGTCAGACTGCCCCAGGGTAGCTGTGGCTACAAGTGTAGCTTTCCTCCACCAGTGTGTGAGAGTGAATGAATAGTGGCATTGTAAAGCGCTTTGGGTGCCTGGAAAAGCGCTATATAAATCCAATCCATTATTATTGTGCGCTTTGTCACCTCCATGACTAGGGCCATTCTACGCTGATCCCTCAGATTGGCCAGGCAACCAGCTCTATGAAGGTTCCTGGTGGTTGATTTATTTACAATGCTGGAATTGGAATAAGGCTGTACCATGACAAAATATGGAACAAGTGAAGTGTTGTGAATACTTTCCAGGTGTAAAAACTGCACGAGGAAAAATACATAGCTTTGCAGCTTTTCCTCTAACTTATTAATGTCTCCAAATATTCATAGACTTCAGCTGATTAGCCTCTCGCTCTCTCCCTGATTTTTGATGCACCATTTCAAATGCACACCACTTGTAAGCAATACACTGCTGTGGAGCTCCAATCCTTTCTTAAATTGCATCCTTTTTAGCAATAAGATGACAAATGTGTTACAGTGCAGTCCACACAGCCTTTGGACTAAATGCATCCATCAAAGAAAAAATGAGTGAGACACTACCCCTAACTCCCCCTCTGTCTTTCTGATTGCAGGCATGTTTAGACCTGTAGCAACCGAGGCTATTACAAGGTGTGGAAAACAGCAGGTGCACAACAAACCCGTGTCACTATGGCTGCAAGTGTGTGTATAGTGTGCAATGTTTATTAGGGTATGTGTATTTTAGGGTTTTAATGATACATCTGGTGCTGCACTGCCTTTCTTTCTGTAGAAAGGTTTCTGTTGCTCGCTGACCATCTGGTTTGCATCAACATGTTTTAAATAGCCAAAGCTCTGGTGGAGGTAAACTTATGTACTTTGTTACCTATATAACAACATTACTTTCTTTAAGCTACAAAATGAAATGTCCTAAACTGATAAACTAAGACTTTTTTGGTTCTATATTTTATTGCTTTGGATATATAAAACAAGTGAACCATGGAGTGCATTTACAGGGTGAGTGTGGCTCAATAGGAACTGAGTAATAAAAGACTGAATCTACACACTACATAATAAAAAAAAACATCTCGTTGGACTTATAGGGCAGACAACTCAACACAAATACTATTAAAATGCTTCTCAGACTGACTCATAAGAATGCGACTGTAGTTTTCTCAGCAGTGAGACCAAAATGAATTTCTGTTTAATCAATTACCTCACAAAAACACCAAATTCTTACAATTTAACACAGCTTGTAGTCTATTGCTATTTAGTACTAATGCGCACGTGCACACATTTGGATGCATCTCAACATTAAGCTACAAAGAAACATGAAACATCAGGAAGTCAGTTATTCTCATTAGACACACTTTAGTAGGAGGCTACTAAACCCTATAAAGCAGCTGACTGCCCAGTGACAATATGTTCATTACATATTAAGGGTCAACCATGTGTGAATGCACATGCAGTGCAGCAGAGTTATATAAAAATGGATGGCATGACAAAGCTTACATGATACCCACTTTTAACTCTCCAGTTCTCTAGGAAAGTCACTTTGAGTTGAACATGCTAAAGAAAGTTTATACACTGATCGGGCAAAATTACTAACATTGACAGGTAAAATAAATAACACTGATTATCTCTTTATCGTGGCACCTGTTACTGGCTGGGATATATTAAAGCAGGTGAATATTTTATCCTCAAAGTTTATGTGTTAGAAGCAAGGAAAATGGGGACGCATAAGGATTTGAGTGAGTCTGACAAGGGTCAAAATTCTGCAGTGGTCAGGCTCATTGATGAGCGAGTGAAGGCTGGCCCATGTGGTCAGATCCAACAGATGAGCTACTTTAGCTCAAAGCTGCCTAAAAAGTTAATGCTGGTTCTGATAGAAAGGTGTACACAGTCCATCATAGTTTGTTGGAATGTATGTGACTAGAGATGAAGACCAGTCAGGGTGTCCATGCTGACCCCGTGCTGTCCACTGCCGAAAGCCCCAACAATGGGCAATTTTTTTTTACATACCATACCCGGATGCACTATGGGAAGAATGCAAGCAGACAGAGGCAATGTGATGCTTTAGGAAATATTCTGCTGGGAAACCTTGGGTCCTGTAATCCCTGTGGATGTCACTTTGGCACACACCACCTACCTAAGCATTGTTGCAGACCATGTACACCCATTCATGGATGCAGTATTGCCTGACGTCTGTGGCCTTTTTCAGTAGGCTAATGCATCATGAAGAAAAGCAAAAATGTTTCAGGAAAAGTTTGAAAAGCAGAAGGAGGAGGTGTTGACTTGGCCTCCAAATTCCTCAGATCTCACTCCAATCAAGCATCTGTGGGATGTGGTGGACAAACAAGTCCAAACTATGGAGGCCCCACCTCGCAACTTACAAGACTTAAAGAATATGTTGCTATAATCTCAGTGCAGATACTATAGCACACTTTCAGTGGAGTCCATGCCTCAACAAGTCCGGAATGGACCAACACAATATTATACACACCACAACAGACAGGTGGTTATAATGTAATGCCTGATCAGTGTATGTATTTACCAGTGCAAATTCTTGTCTTCACAGAATCCCTTCCACATAGGAGGTCCAACTATTGCAATCAGATTGAATGTGAACACCCCACCACCATTTCCAAAAGGCTGTCAACTTTGGAATACCCACAGAAAAGGCCACCTAGCAATACTGTTACTAAAATGGAAGTAGCATTTGTTATACTTCATTTCTGTTGCATTACAGGTTCAATAACACCAGTCTTCAGTGACTCACTGTGTTAAAGCTTGCTCTTTGTCTCAAGAGGTTCATAAGTTTCACTTTCAGTTGTTTTAGTTTTCTAATGGGACACAAGCAGGGGCGATTTTAGCCCATTTTTGGGAATGAATCAAAGCACCCCCAAAGATTTCTTACTTTTTTTGACAATATTTGCTGTTTGTGGGACACACTACTAAAAATATAAAAAGCATACAGTACTTAATTGAGATGGAACATTTTAACAACAAAAGTATAGACAGCCAGGTTCATAATGGATATGAGGAAGTTTTTTTCAAAAAACGGAGCCACATTCAGGTAAAAGTGTAAAATTAAATGATCCGTCAATAAAGGATAATGTTAGATCAGTGTTTCAATATTCATATCTTTTATTAGATGTTCATGTGGTTTGGTTATTTGCCTTTTGGTTGAAAGTACACTGAGAGAGGACTTTTTTATTAGTGATCTTAATAGATTTTTTTTAATCTAATTGAATACAAACTATTTGTGTATGATTGTCAGTCCAAAGAGGGAGAGAGGAAAGAGGGGAACATGAGGAGAAAGTACAAGTTCAGCAAGAACCAGGTAAGAAAACAGACAGGGAATACTAACAGGCAAAACAGAAACTGTTATACAATCATACAATCTGGAAGTTATGTTGTCCCATATTAAAGCTGCTATACAGAATTTGCAAAACAAACTGGGTTGTCAGCCCTGGCACTGCATTACCATAGTGAACTTCAGTCAGAGGAAGTCACGGTTGCCAAAACCTTTTTGAAGCTCAAGAGTGAGGCTGGTGCCATCCCAGATATGTTAACATTGTACAATCTTCTGGATAATCAGATCTTCCCCACAGTGAAAACTGTAATTCAGGTTGCCCTAACAAACCCAGTTAGCAGCTGTAGCTGTGAGAGGTCATTTAGTGTCTTGAGTCAGCTCCATACCTGGCTGAGAAGGACCATGGGTCAAAGCAGACTCCAGAACCTGGCTGTGATGTCAGTTGAGAAAGAGATGCTTGAGAGACTTGACCACCAAAATGTGATAGACAGATTTGCCAACCTCAAGGTGAGGCGACATAGGTTAAAAGAAAAGAAAAAAACTGCAGAGCCATAGTAGTATCTGCAGTAAACATCTTTTCATACATTGTATATATTGTACCAAAGGCCAAGGTATCTCCATTTTTCTAATTTTTTAATAGTATTTTGTACATTTCAAGGACTCTTCTATTTTTGGAGTGTATTTTTTATGTATCTGTATTATATTATACATACACATTAAAAGTGAATCTCTGTCCAAAAAATGCACTCAGTTTACTTTTTACTCACTATGAGCATCATTCATTATTCTCCCGCAGTAATTAAGGTTAGGATATGGTTTTTTTTTTAAATTCCAATCCATTGTTCTTTGGCAGCAGTAGTCTTTAGCAGCATTTACATAACCTTGATCAGATTTGATGGTTTTGTTACAGACTTTTCAAAAAAGTGATGTCATGTTTTGTGACGAGGACCCAGGCACAGAGAGACTTGATGAATTTAAGAATCTTATGATTTAATAAAGAAATTTGCCGACTTGCACAGAGATGGTAAAATTATGATGACTGATGAAGACAACAGACAACGAGGACAGGGAGGAACAGGGGTTTAAATGCACCAAGGAGACAGTCAGAGGGAACTCAGGACAACTGGAGACATTTAAGGATGCAGGGACTGACAGAGCCAGGGAAGAAGTCTCATCGTGACGAGTAAAGTTTATCTTGCCTGGCTGGGCAGCTCTCTGGGTGCTCAGCACCCCCAAAGCTCTGATTCTAGAATCGCTCCTGAACACAAGTATGCTGACACAGAAAAAAAATGTTAAAATTGCATGAATCTCAAGTGAAACAAAGTGTAAAACACAGAGTTTCCATGAACCTTGTATCATAACATAAATTAAATAAAAGATAAATAAAATTACTTTGTATTAACTACAGAATGTACTACTGGGCAGCTCAATTAAAATCAATGGCTGCCTGGATTATTCATGATTCAGAAATGCAGTGGGTATCTATGGAAGAGTATTCCTTACCAGGTATCTCCCTTCGGAGTCTCCCATTTCTCAATCCACAATCACAGAAAAAAATTTAAATAACTAACCCATGGGTCAAGCACATTGTAAATATTTGGAACCAAGTGTTAAAAATGCTAAAAGGGAATTTGACCATGTCTCGAGCTGTTCCCATAAATGGAAATGTCGAGTTTCTTCCATCATTGTCAGATTAGAGTTTTGAGAGGTAGGCGGAGAAAGGATTGATTACAGTCAATCAGCTGTTTGAAAAGAATACTCTTAAAAGTTTTGCCCATCTAAGGGCCAAATATGCTTTATCCCCAGGGGTCCACTATAGATATTTCCAGTTAAGGGACTAAATTACAAAGCATAAGAATTGGGACAATATTAGAAGAGAACCAATCGGGTTAGAAAACGATTTCATAAAACTGCTTGAAAAGACGGGTACAATGAAAAACCAAGTGTCTTTGATTTACCAGAAACTGCTGATTGACATGTCTGATAATATCTATCATATACTGTAAAACAACAATGGGAAATGGAACTTGGATGATGTCACATGTCTATACAATGGAACGGATAACAGCTCAACTACAACTAAAAGTGCCAACCTTCGAGAAAAATGGGCTCCAATTATAAAATATCTTGACAGGACACTCAGGCCTTAACACTGTTACATCTGTGCTAAGGAATGTAAGTATTGGTATGTATGCATATGTATAGGTGTATGTATGTTTTTCCTTTGAAATTAAGTTTTTGAATAATCCTCACTATTATATACTGCAAATTTGGTCTCAGGTTATGTTGTTGCTGTGAATTGCCTTGTTACTTTTGCCAATAAAAGTAAAAAAAAAAAAAAAGAATTACTTTGTATTGCTTGAGGTGGCTTACAATCAATTTTAAGTGGTGCCTATGGAAGATTTATGATGAATTTGTATTAGCTCTGAATGTTTCCATGCCAGGCTCTTTAAGTCTGCACTCTAATACCCCCGCTATCAATCAGTCTGGAATGGAAAACATGATCCTGAAATTCTAAATTTAATGGTAGTAGTATTCACAATAACCCAAGTTCTAGGTCTTTCATCAACAAACAAATTTGAAAACAGACAAACTTAGACATGAACTGCATTTAATAGCGCCTTTTTTGTAAATAGTAAAATATGACTTGCTGCTGCATGTTATTTTGTGTGGGGGTTTTTTTTTTGTTTATTTTAAAAAATAATTCAGAAATGTGCATTTTAACCCAACTCTGATAGTTCATAGCCTTTACCTTCTGTTTCCTAATAAGCCTTCTTTCTGTTTATAGCTTTTAGCTCTGACAGATGTTCTTCTGTGGGAATCCTTCTGGCGAGAACACTGCCCAACAGTTCTGCTAAATGCTCAACTGAAGCATAATATTTTTCACACTGAATGTGGTTATTGTCAAGTTAACAAAGTTATGTGTTGCCAAGTTGACTGGAACACTAGCAGATGTTTATTTTAACAGAATAAATTCTAGCAATTCACAAATTATGTAAAAGCTATGGAAACAAAGTTCATTCAAAGATGTTAAAATCAGGTTATTTTCTTTATTATTTTTCTTAAGGGAGGAACACCTGAACTGGATAAGTGGAATAGAATGGATGGATGGAATTTTATTAAGGTTAGCATGTTCCATCTAAAACACTTTAAAAGATACAACTTATAAACATTTTATAGATTCAACAATTGGTAAAGCAAAAAAAATAAATAAATAACTGGAAGCTGCAGTCCTAATTAATAAAAGTGTGGAGTAAAAGCTCCCTGACTCTCATTTCCTCATAAGTCAGCTTAATCACTCATGTAATCAATCTGTCTCAGGACCTTGAGTCAATATCTGTTTTTTTGGAGGGGGGGTTGCTGAGAACTGAACAACATGTTCTGAAAAATGAAGCCATGATGAAAAATCGTACCAGCTCTGTCAAACATGCTTATCTGCATTAATGTGTTTTTGTGTGTGTTGAATATTGTCCTCTCCTTGCCCTCACCCAGTAATAAAGTTAATGACATTAGGATTCTTCCTCTCCTCTTAAGTGGAGAAAACACCCAAATTACTGAAAGCATTTGGTGTGTATTCCCATGCTTGCTTGTTTGTTTGCAGTGCATGTTTAACTGAATCAATCGTCCATTTATAAATTATTCTGCATGTTCAACAAGAGAAAATCTCTTCTCTCTCCCCACTGCAACTCTGACTCTATAACTTTTGTCTTGGAAGCTCAATACACAGTATATTGTATGCTTATAAGCACTATACATCTTCATTACCCCCCAGGAGCTGAAAAAAATAGCATGAGTATGGGTGTCCATTTGTGCTCTGGAGTGTGCACTCATATGCACATGGGAAAATTGATCTCTTTGGTCTTAGATCATCTTCTATCTGTTCTATCTGCTGGTACTATATCCATGTGTGTGTATGTGTATTTGTGTGTGTATCTGTGTCTTTCAGATAGTGATAAGATTTGTTGCCAGGGGGAACGGGAATGGCTGTTTCCAAAAATAGTTCCTGGCATCCCTCTGACTGACTAACTGGTCATCGTGTGACAAAAAGAAGTGGCTCTATAAAGGGAACCTGGATGATTCACTGTTTAAAATAATCCTCATTTATCTTATAATGGGCCTTGTTCATTTTCTGCCTAAAACATGGTACTCTCATCTCTACTTACTTTGACTGGTTATTCCTGTTAAACAAAATATTGCAAAACACATACACCAACCTCATTGTTTAAAATTGTGTCTGCATTTTCAATATGTGCATTTTCAATTGTGTCTGCATCTTTAATATGAGCATCCAGCCTATACCTCATAGCAGATAATTATATTTTGGGATAGGAAATGGGGCGTTTCCTGTACCAGGCTGTAACAAGCTTGTTAATACTCTAATGTTAACATTTTAACATGGAAGTCTGTGGGGACTGACTTGCTTGTTGTAGCCAGCCTCAACCACTCCATAAACTGCAGTTTTTAAAATCTTGGTGTTGGTCTCTTTTTCAGCCCAAGAGGCTGTTACTTCTGATATCCTCTCTCTATGGCCAGGAGTAGAAAAGATTTCCTAAAAGAAGTGTTTAAAGAACTCGGAGCTACTGGCTCATAAATATGACTTGTACATACA